TACCCATTTGCACTCGGTTCTGGAGATGGACCCCACACATTGGAATGGATTAATGAAAAAGGTTGTGATGCAACAATATTATTTAATGGATAAGAATGTTTATGACTTTTGGCTAGAATACAACTGTTGCAATGAAAAAAACATGGTTTATGGAATAATTTTGGAAAGAGAATTTTGAGATACCCCCAAGATGGATGGCCCAAACGACGATGCCACATCCATGCCTGTGTGTCCACTATCCCATGAGCAAGTGTAGTTGTTCCATAGTGATCAACTTCATCAACATAGTACAGACCATGACGCTCAGAACCACGCCCAATGATCTTCCCCGTCTGAATATCCTGTAATAAGCAAAAAGTGGGATGCATTAGGACAGTGCAATTTAATTGTTTGGTGACATGGCTTATGGACAACAATTTATGAGACAGTGTGGGAACATATAGGCAGTTGTCAAGTTGGATAGATGTCGAGATAGATATTGGACCGGCGCTCTCAACAAGAGAATGATCCCCATTGGCCGTTTGAATATGGGTTTTCTTAGACCAATTTAAGGAATTAAAATCAGAACGGTCATAAGACATCGTGTCGGTTGCTCCACAATAAAAAATCCATTGGGTATTTTTAATTGAGTGGGTATTGGGCTTATTTGTTGGGCTGGGTTTTAAAATATAAAACCCCTTCCCTTCTTCCTCCCTAACCCTACCCGTTCATTTTCTTTCCTCTGCGCCGCCTGTTTCATCAATTCGCAGACCACTGAGCTCTGCGTCTTTTGTTTTTCCCGTGGTGACACCGGCGAAGATATGGTTGGCGGCGGTGCTGGTGGTCTCTGGATTGCCCACTGCTGCCCCAGCTACCCCAGATGGTTTCTTCCCCCTTTTCCGACTATCCGGCCACCATTCCGGATACCCAATCCGCTTGAAGCACCCTTCGGCCGTGTGTTTTATTCCGCCGCAGTAGGTACACTTTAAGTGCGATTTTTCTTCATAGGTGCGAGATGACGATTGTCGATTCTCTGATCGCACCGCCACTCGTGTGGCTGCAAGGCCACCGCCGATCCCTGAGGGAGTCTCTCCCGATGATGGCCCTCCTCGTTCTCCTTTCATGATACCTTTTCTTGCTGCCTCCCTTTGGATTTGGGCGTACGCCTCTTTTACCGAGGGGAGTGGTTCGGTTTTGAGTAAATCTCTTTTTTCTGCATCAAATTCTTCATTGACTGCTTATAGAAATTGATATAGACGATTTTGTTGTTGAATTTGTGTAAAAATCGTCATATCCTCTAGACATTTCATTGGGTTGTGTCGGCGTCTGTCGATTTCCTTCCAAACAGCTTGAAGTTGGCTATAAATTTTTTTCAAGAGGTTGTGCTCCTTGTTTGATCTCACTGGCTTTGACCATTAAATCGTAGATTTGAAGGGGATCTTTTCCGAAGTCATATGTGGCTTCGAATCCCTTCCATAAATCCCAGACAGTAGGATAATCGATATATTGATTTACAATATCTGATTCTATATTTTCCAGTATGCACGTTATCACCGTTGAATCTGGTTGCCTCCATTTGATATATTTGGAATCAACATTTTTGAGGGGTGCGGCAGTGATGTGTTTGAGCCGTCACCTTCCGTCAAGCGCAAAGCTCATCTTGCGTGCCCAAATAGCGTAGTTTTTATCGTTGAGATTTTCCGCCAAATTTAACAACTAATTGGAGGAGCTCTCGATAGGATCTGCCTTGGGTGCTAAATTCTGGAAATTTTGGAGAATTTCCAGAATTTGTGCAAGATTGACAGGCTGCTTCATTGGATCAGACTCCCCTGTGAAGGTGGATCTTTCTGGAGTTTGGCCAGACATATTTTTTTTATGGTAGATGAAGAAACCTGTGTTTCATTCAATCGTTGGATCGAATGAAGGCTTTGATACCATATTAGAACTATAAAATAAAATTCACAGGATTTCTTTTTTATTTCACTACACCAAGAATGGTGTCAATATATATTACATTATTACAATATGTAATTAAGAGACAATTAAGGAAGGTGGGTGGAAGCTAATCAATATCTTTGATTGATTATTTGATTCTCAATCAAGGATATGATTTACATAATATCTTAATCAAATATTTATTTTTGTTTGATATTTATAACATCATGTAGGTTAAAAATGGATCCACATGTTAATTTTTAAGTGGAGGGGCATCATTGCCCATAGTCAATAGATTAGTAAGGGCACCATAGAAAAATCCTAACATTTTTGCTCAGTCAAGCCGACAACATAATATATCATCACCGGACATAGGATCAGTGTGAAATTATATTTTTAGCCTTCTATTCCACACTAACATGACAAAAAATAGGGGTGAGCATGGTACGGTATTTAGCTCGTACCGATACCGTACCAAATATTTCGGTACGGTATGAGATTTTACTCCGTACCGATCCCGAAATATCAGTTCGGTATGGTTCGGTGTCGGTTTCGGTGCAAATCGGGATGAAGATACGTACATACTTTAATTTACACGTTAAAATTTAACAATACCCTTTTTTTTTTGAAAATTAAAAGTGAATTTAAATAAAAAACATGAAAAATAAAAAAATTAATATTTAAATGCAAGAGATGCGTATCAAAAACTTAGTTTATATTTCACAAACTAAAAAATGAATGACAACAAAAGAGTATTTTGAATCTTTGTGAAACTTGAACCAATTTTTTTTTTAAAAAATTATAATTTAGTGAAGGAATATATAAAAATATTACTCCGAAGTATTATTTTTATAATATTTTAGTATATGTATTTTCAGTACAGTTTTTTCGGTATGGGACGTCACCTCATACCGTTCCCGAACATCGTACCGACCATTCGGTTCGGTACGGTACGGTTCCGTCTCGGTACTTTTTCGGTTCGGTATTCTCAGGTTTTTCGGGAAATTTCGGTATCGGTTCGGTACTTGTTCACCCCTAACAAAAAAAGACTTTCCATATCCATGAAAAGGCGTCCATATAAAAAAGAACCACAAACCTAATACTTCCTCGAGCTCCGTCCCTGAAATATGTTCCCTTTATTTTTGTGTTGACTTTCCAGAAATACCTTTGATGTGATGGTAAAAGTAAGATGTGATGGATAAGTTATTAGTAAAAAAAGTACGATGTAATAGAATAGGTAGGATATAAAAAATAAGGGGTGAAAGTGGGGTTTTAATAGACAAAGGAAGAAGTACGTGGGACATGCAAGAAGAAAAAGAAAGAGGAAAGAGTGTAAGGAACGGATGAAGTATATGATAACAGAGATCTAAATCTAAATATTAAAAACTCTTTTTTATAAAGGACTTGTTGAAATATTGAAATAATAATATTGCTCCCTTGAATTATTAAACACATGATAGAGTATATATAGGAGAGATTCCTAATACAACTAGGAATAGAGAATGGAAACTAACTAACATACAACATCTACTACAAATAGGATTAGGAAGCTGACTAATAATGAAACACTACCATAACTAATACTACCAGAAGTAATATTAGTTTATTGTCTAACATCCCCCTTCAAGCTGAACTCTGGCTGAAGCAAGAGAAAGCTTGGACATTAGCTGGAAACTGGAAACTTTGAGAAGAGAGAAGTTTGACATGCGCCGGTGGCTGCTCACGTCGTTGGAGAAGAGAGAAGTGTGACGCGCGCCGGTGGCTGCTGACGTCCTTGGAGAACAGAGAAGTCTGAAACGCGTCGGTGGCTGCTGAGGTCGTTGGAGAAGAGAGAAGTCTGACGTGCACTGGTAGCTCCTAACGTCGTTGGAGAAGAGAGAAATTGACGTGCGCTAGTAGCTGCTGACGTCGATGAAGAAGAGAGAAGGTTGGCGTGCGC